ACAGTTAAATATTTCAATATGATATTTTTGTTGTCGTTTATATTCATTTCTGTGATATCTATCATCTATTTCTGGATATATCACATCCATTTCCCAGCGTTGTGAATAATAGTCCCCGGCGCCTTCACCATCCAAAGCCCTCGATGCCAGGCGGCGTCTCTTCGCGATGACGAACGTCTTGGATGTGAAGTGGTTGATTCAACATGTCTTTGCACGCGAGCAATTACTGTAATAGCGCCCGTCGGGATCGAAATCTTTTCAGCCTCGACGTCGCTTCACACATGAAAACACCGCACATCTCGTAAAAGCACGAAAGTGAAATTGATCTCTGGTTTAGTTTCGCGTTTTTCTCCTCAGTGCGATTTATCCGAATGAATAAATTCAGGACATTTGAGGTTAGAAACTGCGTCATACTCGGACGTCACATAACCTTACATTTTCAATTCGATTGTAATACCTGTAGATGAACAATTAGCGTGCATTACGCGATAATTCTAGGTGGAGTTGGAATTGTTGGGATGTTATTGAAGCTTACTGGTTATTAACGACTGCCACTCACGTGTTGCTATCGGCGCTTCGATTGTAATTGCGGCTCTGAAATATGAATGCCATTTGTACTCGTAATTCGTACGTTTATTGCTTTGTAAAAGTAAACAAAAGAGTCAACAGACAAATGAGAATTAAATTTAATTATTTTCATGTTTTAATTTTTTTTTTCTGTGTGGAAAAATTTATTTTTAACAAACTTTTCCAATAACCGCGCTCGGTTTTCCAATAAACAATAAAGACTTGTTCATCTGCGTTTTCGTTCACTGGTTTTCACGACTGCAAAAGATCGAAGATGAAGAGAACCACGAAACTTAATTAAATTTCTTTCCCTGAGGTTTTTCCAGCCCGTTTTTTACTACAAAGAAAACCCCCTAAAGACTTATAAAGTTGTTGACTAGCTGAAATGAAATGAACAGCGTTTTAATTTCATCAGCTAAACTCGAAAAATTTTTAGCATATACTATATGCAACCAAATATACAGCGGTTGCCTTAATGGAATAATTTTATTACGCCGCGGCTGAAATTAAGAAATGTAATTTGCAATTTATGATCGTCCTTAACAAGTTCATTAAGCGACGTCGCGCAGTAAATTGTCTAGACTTGGACGGACGCAAACTCGCAACTTGCCGAACACTAATAGCTTACACCTAAGCAACCAACCGTACACTCGGCGTATCCGAGTGTAAAAAGTTAGCTACTCGAACTGAACTTAGTTTGAGAATCGGTGAGCAAAAACGATCGCAGAGGCAAAGACACACCGGCTCCTAAAACGTTTAATGAGCAATGAAACAATTACTTGCAGAGGGTTTTGCCGCGCCGCGCAGCGGTAAATTATGAGAGTTTTGCGGCTGGAACGTGTTTATGATGGGGTATCAATAAACAATGAAATTCGGATCGATTGCGGTGCACGCGCAGCCTCAAATCCATTTCGTGCTTTTTGATCCTGCGGTTATCGCATGTTTGACCACCGCCGCAGGTAATTTAATTTTCGCAGTTCATTATTCTGCATGGAATTGAAAATTTCAATTGCGTTACAATTCGTTTAATATTAAATTAATGCAATTTTATGGATTTAAATATAAAATATGTAAAAATAAGAGTTTTAGTGTTTTTTTGAAGGAATTTATGTTGTAAAAAATGACCGTGGCTAAAATAAATTACGGTTGCATGCATTTTACATACACTGTGGTTACTGAGATGAGCAGAGGGTTGAAATGTTTCGGGTGCGCATGAAAAATGTATTCGATTCATCCTATCAAACCCAAAATACGAGAAAAACGCACAGAATATAAACTACTGTATCTTTATTTTGTGTTTTTTACCTAAAAAGCTCAAAATTTTTTTTTTTCTTTTTTAAGTAAATTTTGTAAATTTTATATTTTATACCTACTTTACGATGATGAACGACACACGTTGTTTGCATTGCATGACTCGAGTCAGCCGGTACAATTTCAATATCTACGTTACGCTGCTGCAGGTCGTGAAAAGCTCGAAAGCTCACGGGCGGCGGGCATCCATGGCATTTTTGTGTTTGCGCTCGCGTTTCTATATTTAAACGAAGCTACGTTCGACGAGTCACTTTGTAGCGTCAATATTTACACGGCGTTTTGTTTGATTATGATTTCTCTATTCTTCCAATCATCATTGATCTGCGAATTTATTTTAAACAATTTATGTAAATTGGAATAAAAATATAAACGCATGCAGGTATTAGTTAATTAGTTTTAGTTTTGTTTATATTTTACGGTTGTGGAATAAAGTTTTAATTAAATAGGAGAGCTGCGATTCGTAAATTCAATCCCGATCAAATCAAATCAGTCAGTGCGCACTTAAAACCAACGACCCGCCCGAAACCGACTGCGGTTGAGAGGCGAATGTTCATTGAATCAAAATGTAAACGCCAACTCAACCAGCACTTGGCTTTTAGAGATATTTGTTGAATAATGCACTAAAATGATATCGAATACGTTTCATGGTTTCTTATTCCATTAAACAACAGTATGCTTAATTTACATAATCCGGATATTTTGCATTTTCTCAAGTTAAACCTCAACAAGTACTTAATTTAAACTTTGAATCCCTCAAATCTCTTTGGATTCATTTCCATTATTTGATGCAACGTCCGAATTTATTTTATTTTCGAAAACTTTCATGAATAACATTCAAATGACGCGGTGAAAAAAGTTTGGGAATTTTTTTGAATATGAAAGTTTAAATATTTAAAGAGGCTTGATTTGCTCAGGGAGTCATCGGTACAAGTTGAAACATATTTCTCAACACAATTCAAAAACTTTCCGCAACTTTTTTTTATTTCCCAGTAGTCGTAATTTAAGTTTTATTATAGGCAACCCAACACACAAATAAATCATTTGCACGCATTCATTTGTGATTAAAAATATTTTGTATTTTGATTGTGATCAGAAATACCAACAATTGAAAACCATATTACGCAGTGTATGTATTTAAAATATTATGTATTATGGAACATTTTAGCTTGAGAGTTGATTTTGAGGAGAGGTTTTCAAAAATTATAATTTTGTGGAGAATTTTTGATTTTTTTTTGCAAAATTTTGATACTTAAATTAAGCCTGTTTAAAGAAAAAAATTGCAGTTTTTTTTGCAAAAGTTGCGATTTTCTGTTCAAACGCAAAAATCTTGTTCCAGATTTTTTAAATATCTCCGAAAATATTAAACGTACAACATTGACAAGTATACCATCTTACAGAGGAATAATTAAACAATTTTTTTTTGATTTAAAACATTTCTAAATTTCTCAAAATTAAAAAAATTTCAGCAAAAAAACAATTTTTTTTCAATTTCATCTCCTAACCTAACCTAATTCTAGGTCCATCGTCTCTGCCAAAATGCATATAGCAGTAATAAAACTAACCCACTTGTTCCTCCTGCTCTTGGTGAATTTAATACTTGCTTCTCAACACAATTCATAAACTTCCCGCAACTTTTTTTTATTTCCCAGTAGTCGTAATTTAAGTTTTATTATAGGCAACCCAACACACAAATAAATCATTTCCACGCATTCATTTGTGATTAAAAACGATTTAGATTTAAATTTCAATCTGTTTATTTTCAACCAGCGGAAATGATTACGATTTAAACATCAACGTGTTTATTTGTACTTCCAAATGAATGCACGATTTAATTAATCGCATCGGATTTGCATGAATAATTCAAACGTGATGCGCTGTGTTATATTTAGACAACTAATTAAATAAAAACATTTAATTCACGCCGGAAGATATAGTTTATTGATAAGCAGAAATAAAACTGGTGCACTTTATTGATTTTGCGTCTCAAGGTCAAAATGTTATTTTCAAGGGATATTGCAGAGTGACTCGCGTGGGCGTCCTGCACGTCCTGCTTCTCATCGTCTAACCCCGGGTCTAATCTCGTGGCTGTTGCGTCATTAACCTTCCCAAAACCAAACCAAAACCAAAACTACAACTAAGTAACTCAATCCTGCTTTGTATTCTGTCTTATAATGTAACTTAAACTGTATTGTATTACATCCCTACTAATATTATAAATGCAAAAGTCCTGATGTTTGTTACACTTTCCCGCAAAAACTACTTAACCGATCATCATGAAAATTTGTACACATATTCTTAGTGGTCCCCGATTGGTTATAGGCTACTTTTTATTTAATAAAAAAATATATTTTTTAAATAAAATAAAGAAATAGTTTAGCCAATAATACCTCTGCATCTGGCTATTTGACTACTTTAACGCCATCTAGCATTCCAGCAATGAAGCTCAAACCTAAGTACTATAGTACCATCACACTGTATTCAACATCAAATCCAATTGACAACACTATGGAGACTGTACACTATACTTCCATAGACTATACTTTCAGCCATTTTAAACTTCCCGCCATTCTACTTCATTGTTACTTCTTCTGTGACTACAGACGCGTACGGAAGCAACTTCATTATTTTAGATATTCGTGAGCGAAGCCGCGGGTTAAAGCTAGTAATAAAATAATTTTGTGATTTTTTTTGTTTTTTGTGTTTTTAACACTCTGTATAAATAATGTGACCCATTTTTGAATCAGCATTACATCGGTTAGCACGCTGTGAAACTAGGAGTATTTTTCACGGACCATTAATTCACACTGTCATCGGTCCTCAGACCTCTTTCCCGACATAGAATGACGTGGATGAGAGAGCACTCAACCGACAAGGTGTTTGATTGGGTGTACAGAGATGTTAAGAACTTTCATCTGTTTTAATTAAAATTTAAATGAGCAGGTGTCACTTGGACGCGCCAAAGTTCATCGCACGTTTTATTTCTGCAGACATTTTTCATCATTTCCAACATCAGAATGAAGAATAAACTGGTAATTTGTATAGAATTACGTCGTGGATGGATTAACTTAATTACAAAGTGCTCCTTGAGTGTTTAATTAAATTACAAACATTTACTGTTTTCAGTTGTTTGGTAACAGTAGATTTATCAATCTGTCATAAAATAAAAATTTAAAAATGCGTTCGGTTGAAGTGATGCACAAAAAAAAGCGAAGAATAACTTTTATCGATCATAATGGTAGGAATGTAATTTATTATAATGTACGGTAATAATATTCCAATCACATTAACACTTTTCAGAATACCGCCAGCAGATCCTGAATCGCCTCGTGGAGTTATCCTTCCATGTAATTTGGGAATGGCTGATCGAAGTGGTGATAGTGATCTCAATATTTAACGCCATTTACGTGACGTTCTTCGACCCGGACGAGTCCAATCTGTTCATGTACTATTACTGCCTGGAGGCTGTCTTCCTCTACGACACCTTTATCGGATATATCCATAGGTAAGCCTTTTCTATTTCCGGCTTTGCGTTCGCGTTCGCTTTTTCTTTCTTTGAGTGGGGATTAAATCTTTTCAAACTGTTCTCAGATTTCACGTGCGAATGTTTTCGCTGCAGCCGCCGCGCGGCGTCATAATCCTCTTACTAGACACATTATCCTTGGCTCCGATCTACGAATTCTGTTATATAGCTTTGCCGGAGTATGCTACGCCGACTCTTCAGAAATTCCAACAATTGAAAACCATATTACGCAGTGTATGTATTTAAAATAATATGTATTATGAAACATTTTAGGTTGAGAGTTGCTTTTGATGAGAGGCTTTCAAAAATTATTATTTTGGGAAAATTTTGGAAAATTTTGCATTTTTCTTTTGCAAAATTAAGTAAAACTAATCTATGTTTATCTTTAGATAATTTTAATAATTAATTAAAGCCTTTTTAAGGGAAAAATTTCAAATTTTTTGAAAAATTTTTTTGACAAAACACAAAAATTTCGTTCTAGAATTTTTGAAATATCTCCGAAAATATTAAATGTACAACATTGACAAATATACCATCTTAAAGAAGAATAATTGTACTACCTTTCCCATTTAAAACATTTTCAAATTTCTCAAAATTAAAAAATGCCAGCCAAAAACAATTTTTTCAATTTCATCTCCTAACCTAACCTAATTCTAGGTCCATCTGATCACAACCCTCTTCGTGGAACGTTTCGTCTCTGCCAAGATGCACATAGCAGTAATAAAGCTAACCCATTTATTCCTCCTGCTCCTGGTAAATTTAATACTCGCTTGCTGGTGGTCATACGAAGGTCGTTGTTGGCCCAACTGCGAGAAACCCAACTGGTCCGATTCATTGGTCTACCTGACTAGGCTGTCTCCCGAAAACCCACTCATCTGGTTCCTCACGTGTTTCACAAGCATCGGTGATAAACTCATACACGGCTCGCCTGGGTTCCTCATCGATCAGAACGACACCGAGACGTGCATCATTCTCACTGCGCTGAGTCTTGGCTTTGCGATGCATACTTTCTTTGGAGTTGCCCATGTCTTCAATACTTATGTGGATGTACTAAGAACACGGTACAACTATAAACTACACCTGAGCAAATTGCATTTTTTGTTTGATTCATGTGCTAAGAATCAGGAGAATAGTAAACTTAAATTGAGGACTTTGGAGTATTATCATTTGCTGTGGAAGAAGAGGAAGGGATTATTTTTACTGAGGAGTTGATTCGTGATTTGCCAATGATTTTAGTGGTAAGTATTAGAGGTTAGGTTAAATTAGGTTATGTTAGGTTTGACTAGTTAAGTTGGGTTAAGTTAGGTTAGATAAAGTTAGGTTAATATAGGTTAGGTTTGTATTTGGTTATAATAGGTTATGTTAACCTAACCTATATTATAGGTTACTAGCTTTATCCCGCGGCTTCGCTCGCGAATATCTAAAATAATGAAGTTGCTTCCGTACGCGTCTGTAGTCACAGAAGAAGTAACAATGAAGTAGAATGGCGGGAAGTTTAAAATGGCTGAAAGTATAGTCTATGGAAGTATAGTGTACAGTCTCCATAGTGTAGTCAATTGGATTTGATGTTGACGTAGCTGTCGGTAATACAGTGTGATAATACAGTGTGATGGTACTATAGTAATTAGGTTTGAGCTTCATTGCTGGAATGCTAGATGGCGTTAAAGTAGTCAAATAGCCAGATGCAGAGGTATTATTGACTAAACAATTTCTTTATTTTATTTAAAAAATAATTTTTTTTATTAAATAAAAAGTAGCCTATAACCATTCGGGGACCACTAAGAATATGTGTACAAATTTTCATGATGATCTGTTAAGTAGTTTTTGCGTGAAAGCATGATAAACATTAAAACATTCGAATTTATAATATTAGTAGGGATGTAATTTTGTGAATTCTTCATTTTCAGAAAGAAGTCCTGGTTGATGTCTTCCATGAAGCTCTTATCCACTCTCACCTCTTCAAAAATTTATCCTTCTCGATGAAGAAAGAGCTCTGTACTTGCATGTACACTGAATTCCTACTTCCCGGTGACGCCATGTTTTCCGGCCAGAACTACGCCGCAATGTTTTACCTCCATTCCGGAGTAATCAACGTTGTCTCCCAGGAAGACAACATAACCCCAATTCTAACCCTCACAGCTGGTACTCTTCTTGGAGAAGCATCACTCTGTATGATTCACAATGTCTGCGCACGTATCTACTGCGCTACTGAATGCGAAATAAAACTTCTCCCCTTGGCGTCGTACAATCGCCTGGCGTCCAAGTATCATCATCAATTTGTTGATGTTCAGCAGGAAATTCACAAACGTATCAATATTGCACGTAAGAGAAAACAAGCCAATACGTCAACGATGCCTTTGAAGCGCTTGAAAAAACAATGGCGGTGTATATCCGCACTGCACTCGTACCAAATCAAACATGGTTATGCTGAGCGGAGTTTGTGGGAGGAGTTGGATAAGGGTTTTTATTCTAAATATTTGGATTTGATCGTGTTGGCGGATCGGCCGACGGCTGGTCAGAAGGTGATTTGCCTCAATTCCAAATGTCCGTATGTCATGGATCCAAATACGAGCTTTCGAAGGTTTTTTGCTTATATTCACCTGGCTGTAGTTGTCATTCATGTAAGTTATATTTAAAACTATAAATTGTTTTTTTTTAATTATACATAACCTTAATTTTAGACTATATATCTGCCATACTATTACATATTTTGGGGTTATATTCCAAAACATTGGTTTTTGATCAATTTAATCTTGGATTTGGTGTTTTTCTTGATATTTATTTACAATCCATATCACTGGTTATTGATGACGATGTTGAAATAATCACAACTAAAAAATTGCTGATGTATAAGTGTAAACAAATGCGTTTTCTTGTTGATTTAATGTCAGCATTTCCGTATGATTATTTTGGATTGATTTGGAAGTATTCAGATGAATTATATGTAAGTTTATTTATTTATTTTTGATTTTATAAGTTTAATATTCAATATATTTTAGTTTTATATGCGAGTACCAAAACTTATTCAATGGTACAAAATAATTGAATTAATAATGCATTTAGAAGACAACGTCATCAACAAATCCTACCTGATTCTATCAATTAAATATTGTATTATTTATTTTACGGTATTTTACTTATCGACATGTTATCATTATTTGTTTTTCAATTTTGGTCAATATGGTGTTGATCCTACAGCTGGTGACTGGCCACTTACTGCATCTCCGATTTTGAGTTGCATTCAATATAATCTGAATGCCCTATTTTTATTTGGACTGTATGAAAGGATGCCTACATGCATACATGGGGCATTAATGTTTACATTTTTAACTTACGTTGGGTAAGAATCAAAAACATATTTTTTTACTTCTACCTTTAAAACGCCATTTTTTCTATGGTTATGAGACACAAAAAGTGGTATTTTAGTCACAGGCGGTCTTGGACGTGACTAAAGTACTTTAGTCACAAGGTTACAAGTTTTAAAATACAAAAGTTCAAAATAAACTCCTAAACGTAAAAATAAAGTGGAAATAGAAAAAATATCATAAACATCATGTGGCTAACGGTTGTTAAAGAGCCACTTAGCACACTTGATACTTAATATACTATTTAAAAAGTGAATTTTTAAACTCAATTTATTATTTGTTTTCAGATGTTATTTATTAAATTTTTGCATCGTGGAAGTTTCCTGCATTATTGTGAAAAACAACGAGAACAAATACAAACATTTAATGCGTTTCAAGACTGTAGATGATTATTTAATCTCAAATTCCTTGGCTGTAAACTACAGCACATATCTGCGAGCTTATTATGATTTTCTCTGGCAATATAATAAGAATATCCAAGTGAAGCCAAGTATTGAAATGCCTGAGCACAAAATCTATAATCAAAATATGGCGAAGATAGTGCGTGAGATGCCGGTATTTGTAAACTTTTCGGATGAATTGATAGAGTTAATCGCGGCCCGAGCAATTGTCCATGTTCATCCACCTGGGTTTGAAATATCCGTCGTGAATGATCGCAATATACATTTACATATTATTACAAAAGGGTTAGTAATCTATAACATTAGTTTTGAATAATAATAGTGTTTTAAGTATCTAGTGCGCTAAGTGGCACTTTAACCACGAGATTGATTAAAGGCGAGCATAGTAAGCGTTTAATCAATCTTGTATTAATTAAGATTTAGTGTACACTTGCTTGAAATTACATAAAGTACATAAAGTACTTTAGTCACGGCCGTGATTAAAGTACCACTTTTCGTGCAAGTAAACCGTGGAAAAAGTGGCATTTTAAAGCTGAAAGTAAAAAATAATATTTATTGTTTAGATATTGTTCAATGGCTATGTTTTTACCTGGAGATGAAGAGAAACACATTATAAAAACTTTAAAACCTGGCGATTGTTTCAACGTTATCGAAAGTTTACAAGCACTGAATTCTTTCAACACAGTTAAAACTTTAACAGCAGTTGAAGAAATATCAATTCGTGCAAGTGTGGTATTTGATGTTTTGAATACCAATGAAATAGGTTAGAAATACGTGCCACCTAATAATATGTATTTTGGGTTGCATATCATACAATGGCTTTTATTTTTAGAAAAGAAAAAGTTTAGAGATGTTATACGCTGGCACCGCTCAAATAATTACACCGTATTGAACGATTCGAAACAAAGTGACTTTTTGATTGATGACAAAACTGAGAAACCGAAAATGCCGCATGTGCCGTACTTCAAGTACGTTATTGATGATAATTACGATTTCGGTAAAGGGAAAACCGAGCGCCGAAAACTGCAGAAGCAAGTGGGTATGTTATATTACTGTCTGCTGAACAAGACAATAGATCCAAGGAATAAATATTACATCGCGTGGGAGATATTTCGGAGCACGGTCGTCATTTGTTACGGGTTCATCTCATTCATGAATAGTACATTGTTAAGAGGCCATCATCTTACTAAAATTATTACTTTAGTTATTGCTGAAGTTGTACTCTTGGTTGACATTTACGTAAGTTATACAGAGTACATAAAATTTTATTTATTTTTATTTCTATCTTTTCCACGGTTTCAAGACACAAAAATTACATTTTAATCACGGTCGTGGCTAAAGTATTTTAGTCATTTGTTTGATTGACGGCGCAAAGCATTACATATGGTCTTGTGTTGCATTTTAAGCAATTCTGCAGCCAAAAGCTGCACACGTGACTAAAGCCCGTGACTAAAGTACTTTAGTCATGGCCTTGGCCATCTTCGTTTCAAGAAGCATTTTTTATGTCTCAACCGTTGAAAATCTGACACATTAAAGGTGGAAGTAGGAAATTAATATATTTTTAAAATTTTAGATACGATTACATTTACAATACTACAACGAAGAAGGAATTAAAATTAGTTATCTTCCTTATACAATCGAACACTATGTAAAGACTTCCATGACTTTGGACTTGATCGCTGTGAATCCTCTGGTTCCTATCCCGATGTACATAAGAAATTCATTTAAATTCAGTCGTAAATAACCTGAAAAAAAATCTCAAAAAAACGAAAATAATGAAATTTTTTGTTTCAGTAAACGTGTTTAAAGCAACAGTTTATTACGTTGCTCTGTTCCATCGCCCCGTACAAGGATTACATTATGTCGAAGATAACTTTAACGACATTCGCAAACATCTTGCAACAGCTTTACGATATTTGATAATTGTGTGCAGCGCCTTCGCCATCGTCGGCAATGGCATGCTATTAGCCGTCTGCAGCTACGTAAATATTGATATTGATGGAATTTTTAACGCATGTTATTAACGTTTTTGAAATATGTTTGCGTAGGATAAAAATGCGCGTGGGTTTAACTGCACGGCGACGCCGAACTACATCTCGACATCGCCGTTTGCCAACTATACAGATACACGCTACCTATTAATATTTAACTTGCACGCCGTTTCGGAGCGAATTCATTCCGACATTGTCGGCGTTAGCGAATATCCTCTCATGAATAATATAATCGAATCTCTTGGGATGAACCTGATATTGTGGTGCTTTAAGCTGTATCTTATGTGCAAGTTGATATCATCAACGGTAAAAACAATCAGTTTCAACTATTAAAATTATTTAAAAAATTTTTTACTTCCTCTTTTAAAATTTCACTTTTTTCACGGTTTTGAAATACCAAAAGTGGCACTTTAATCACGGCCGTGGCTAAAGTACTTTAGTCATTTGTTTGATTGACAGTGCGAAGCATTACATATGATCTTGTGTTGCATTTTAGGCAATTGTGCAGGCAAAATCTGCGCATGTGACTAAAGCCCGTGACTAAAGTACTTTAGTAACGGGGTGGCGTTTGCGTCAAAAAGTTCAAATACCAAAATAAACGTGGAAATAAAATGAAAGTAGATAAAATAACATAAACATCACATCGCTAAACGTGGTTAAAGTACCACTTAGCGCACTTGATACTTAATATATTATTATTTGTAAATTTTTCAGATTGGTGCAAATGCAGTAATTTTTAACAAGCCTAAAACCCTCTTTAATAATTTCACTGCTTTTGTAAAATATGAATCAATCACCGAAGCGATTGTAGAAGAAGTAAAAGAACACTTTGAATATGTTAACACTAAACATGGTGGACATGAAATTAATAACTTACTCAACAAATTATCAAACAAAGTACGATTGGATATCAAGAAGCTTTTGTTCACTGACACATTAAAGAAAACGAATTTTTTCCACGCGTTTTCAACTAGTTCTCTTCGTGTATTTTTGGATTTTATTGACTTGCGATATTACAAGATCCACGCAGATATTATCAGATGTAACGATGTGCAGAAGAACATTTATGTGGTGTCAAAGGGTACTGTAGATATTGTCATCGCTGGCGACACCCTAATCACATTGACCCGCGGCGGAGCTTTCGGTTGTTTTACAGAAAAGGGTAAAGACACATTTAATAACACTTTTGATGTTTTTTTTTATTTGTCTGCTTGCCATGCTATTTTAAGCAAATTACAATTTAGCCAGGCCAGAGGGGTATTGTGGTGAGCAATTTGGGCCATTGGGGTAAACCACCCCTAAACAAATTTTGCTGTGTGTTGCTTTTATTACATTTTACACCCGAAACCTTTGATATTCATATTTTCCAGACGCATTAATTTAATTAATTAAACAGGTATTACTAGACAAACAATTTTGGCGCGCTCGAATGTGCACGTGGAGCTGCTCGTGATGGATAGCAAGTTGTTTTTCAAACATGTGACAGCGTATCCGACATTAATGGCCAGATTTCGGATGCATATGTTTCGTAATATTGAATATATTAAATCAGTGGAATCGGTGGATGATACTTTTTCGTCGGGGGATAGTGCTAATACGAAAATATGGGCGCAGAATATTCACTGTTATAAATTCTACGATCGGTTTAACAAACATATTTTGTTATCAAGCAATAACTACAAAAGATATACTTTGGCTGTTATACATATTGCAGCTCTATCAAGTATTATTTTTGTGTTTTTGTTTTTTGTGAGAAAATATTGGATTTTAGCGGTAAGTGAAAAATTTTTCAAAAAATGTTTCTTTATTTAAATTTTTAGTTTTTTTAAATGTTTTAAAAGTCAAAATATGCGCAATTAGATTCTCTAGAACATGATATATATGGTAATCTTTTAAAAAAATTATTTTAGCAGATATTTGAGTTTAAAAAAAAAGAAAAATGGAAAATTTTATTTTTTTTTGTTGAATTTTTGAAAGATTTAAAAAAAAATTATGCAAAAATATAGATAATTAAATTCTCTTTACAATCATATATTTGTCAATACTCCACACCAATTATTTTCGAAGATATTTCAATTAAACTAAAAAATTTAAAATGGAAAAAATAATTTTTATTGAATATTTAAAAGATTTTGAAAAATTTTTGATGCAAAAATATGGATAATTAAATTCTCTTTAAAATCATATATTTGTCAATACTCCACACCAATTATTTTCGAAGATATTTCAATTAAACTAAAAAAATTTCGAAAAATGGAAAAATCAATTTTTTTATTGAATTTTTGAAAGATTTAAAAAAATTTATGCAAAAATATAGATAATTAAATTCTCTTTAAAATCATATAATTGTCAATACTACACACCAATTATTTTCGAAGATATTTCAATTAAACTAAAAAATTTTCGAAAAATGGAAAAAATTAATTTTTTTATTGAATTTTTGAAAGATTTAAAAAAATTATGCAAAAATATAGATAATTAAATTCTCTTTAAAATCATATATTTGTCAATACTCCACACCAATTATTTTCGAAGATATTTCAATTAAACTAAAAAATTTTCGAAATATGGAAAAAAATAATTTTTTTGACGTGATAACGTCTTTAAAATCGTTTTAGTCGGGTGACGTTCAGAAACTTGTGTCACGAGGCCTCCGATCGCAGGTATAACGAGAGAGAGAGAGACGGATCGATCTCCCGTCTCATCTCGTGCGCTGCCAGTCATTCCGTGAAACTTGACACGCGGAATCCACACGAGGCAGGCATAGCGTTCGAGTGAGTGGACCGATTTTCCGTCTCTCTCACTCTAGCGGCATACAAACGAATGGAGATTTTCTCGTGCGGTTAAGTTTTCGTTGAATATTTAACAGTGAAACAAAATGTGAAGTGCAAGTGAAGTGTTACAACAATTGCAACAAAAAAAACTTATATCACCAATAAGACGTTATCACGTAAACATCTCGATCGTAAACCTACTTTACAAACAACCATTTTTTTATTGAATTTTTGAAAGATTAAAAAAAAATTTATGCAAAAATATAGATAATTAAATTCTCTTTAAAATAATATATTTTCCAATACTCTACACCAATTATTTCCGAAGATATTTCAATTAAACTAAAATTTTCCTTTAATTACCCAAATTTTTATTTATATTTCAGTCATTCTGCTACATCTGCGACCTGTTTTTCTGGGTAAACATTGTAATAATGTTCCACATGCAGTACATCGATCCAGACACGGGCATACGCATCACATTCCCGGTCCTAATCCGCAAGCGATACGCAAAGTCCTTGACGTTTTGGGTCACGCTCTTGGGCAGTCTGCCAATCGAGATAATTCCGCTGATTGCACGCGCTGACACGTTTGTGGTCGAATGTTTCTTCTGCAATAGATTATTACGGTAATTAATTCTCTTGCACCCGCAACTAAATCACACCACATTAAAACCAAAACTTTTTATTCAAAATTTTTTATTCCAGATTCGTCCTGGCAATGATGTACAACCACGAACTACAAAAAAAGTTATCGTTCAGCAACTGGTTCCAATGGTTGTATATAATCTACTTGATAATGTTTCAAATTGGCTTCATGTCTTTAATCTGGTAACACCCACACTCACACCCACACATAGCTTTTGATAACAGACTGCGCCTGTAATCCTTTGTATTTCTCCTCTGTGCAGGTATTCCGTAGCCTGTCATTTAGAAACGTGCATGCATCGCGTGAGTACGGGGCCCAAGAAGGAAATGGGCACGGCGGGCGAACGCAACGAGATCCTCCTGAGTCTATTCTACGTCGTCATCCTGTTTACGGCCGCCGGTGTCCGCACGGTGTCATCAGTTACAATGAGTCAGATCACTGTTACCGTTCTGATATCGAACGCATCGCTCATCATCACCTCGTTAATGATTGGTGTCCTCACCAGTTTGCTAATTATCAGACATCGTGCTGCAAATGAATATAAAACTCGAGTTGCACGCATGAAAATATTCTTCAGCTCATTACATCTTTCGCCATATTTACGTGAAAGGATGTATCAATCTATGGTTATCCTCTGGATGCGTCGACGTGGTGAATTACTTCCCAAAATTATTTATGATGCACCGATGTATATCCAACAAGATGTTATGATGTCTCTTTATGGGATGCATTTAACTCGTCATCCGATTTTTGGTAAAATGCATAAGGATATGATAAAACAAATTTGTGTTTTATTAAAAGTGGGGTTATACACACCGGAACAAGTCATAGCTGCAGCTGGAGATGAAGATGATTGTATGTATTTTTTGCATAGTGGACAAATGCGTGTGACGGATATGAAAACAAACAGATCGTTTGTTGTTCCTTCGTATTTTGCGTTTGGGGAGGAACAAGGAATTTATGGGATTGCACATAAGAGGACCTATGTTGCTTATACAACAATTGATTTGTTGTTATTGGAGAAAAAAGTTTGGAATTATTTATTGGACTGGTTTCCGTCATCGAAGGAAATTATTGATAATTATTCCGATATGTATTGCCCAACGGATATTTCCAATGTTTATCAAACAAAAGAAGTCGTCATAGATTAACAATAATTTAGTTATTTCACAAAAAGGAAATATTTTTGTTTATCGCTTCGATGTTGTAATTATTACGTTTGAGGTATTTAGAATTTCTGTTTAATTAGCTGCTTGCAAAACTATTCGTATAAAACAAACCGCACGTGTTTCAACTCATATTTTCAGTTGTGTTGTTTTTGTTAACATTATAATGACGAAAATTCATGTAAAATTTGTGTTTTTATTGTTTTTTACTCTGTTTTATGAAAATATCTCAGCGTCTACCGTGGTATGTATATATGTATAGTTGTAAGTTGAGGTTATGTAAGTTTAAAATAAATTCCAGCCCAAATTAATAGATTCAGAAGGATATGTTGTGGAGAAGCATTTTGCCACGACAAAGACTGGCTATATTTTGGGTTTGCATCGTATACCAAGAAGCAAAAAAGCCGCCACTAACAATGCCACTAAGCCGGTCGTCCTGCTGCAGCATGGCCTCGCAACGTCCTCCGATTGCTGGATTCTCTCCGGACGTAGATCCGCTTTAGGTAGTCTTTCATACACACACGACCGCCATCTTCCACTCGATTCCATCTGCTTTCACCACGCGAGAGATTTCATACGATTTTCAAGGCTTTGCGATCGCAAAACGCTCACTCTAATAAATACACATAAAAGGGCGCTTAAAGCGAGAATCTATTTTCGAAAAAAAAAAACGTCCAAACTTTTCAAAGACGCTCTGCGTTTGCTTTGGTTTTAAGCGTTCCAGTTGGCGGATAAAGGATACGACGTGTGGCTGGCAAACTCGCGCGGAACCGTTTACTCCAGCAATCACACGAGGCTAAACATGAGTTCCCCGACCGACAGGAACAAGTTCGATCGATATTCATTCCATGAGAAAGGCAACGAAGATCTCCTAACCACCATTGACTTTATTCTCGCCCACACAGGCGTGCAGAATCTTGCTTTGTACGCGCATTCTGAAGGAGCCTCGATGTTTTTTGCATTGGGTGCAACACAACCGAAACAATTAACGAAAATCAACTCGTTTTTTGCGTTTGCACCGCTCGTGTTCATAGGGAATGTTACCTCGCCTGTGGTGAAATATACTGCGGTTGCTAACCAACTTTATTTGGTATGTAAAATATTTATAAATATTTCAGAAACAAAAATTTAATTTTAATTACAGTTTGGATTCCTGTATGATTTTGCGAAACCGTTTGTGGGTTATGCACTCAAAACATTAAATGGTTTCTCAACCAATTTTATAACTAGAGGATATACGACCTTACCAATTACCATCATCAGCGGTGGGGCTGAAGGACAAATCGCTGGCGGAACTATTTCCAAGTTGTACAAGCACTTTCCCAGCTACGTCAATAAACGAAGTTTGTCCCACTTACTACAACTAGTCACCTCAAGTGAGTGCAAATACTTTTATTTGTTGAAAACTTTTCGCTAACAGTTATTTTTATTTTTAGAACGATTTCAAGAGTATAAGCCTGTTTTTGGTAGACTGTGGGATATGCTCAGGTTGTATCCGAAGAAATACAATCTGAAAAAGGTTACCGTGCCGATGTATTTGTACTTTAGCGAAGCTGACACGTTCATCAACGCGCGTAACCTGAAGCGGTTTGATGATGCCTTCGTGAGGAAACCGAAAATATTCAACGTACACAATAACTTTGGTCATTATGACTTTGTTTACGGTAAGGATGCTGGGAAAGTTTATGAACTTACTTACGAAGCACTGAAGAATCATACCAGCACTGTTAAGAATTAACAAAAAATAAAAATAAATAAAAACTATAAACTTTAAAGTTTTATTTTTCTTATTTTGTGATTTAATTTTTATCTTGTAAAATTGATAAAATTTTTGTGTTTACTTTTGAATATACACTCCAACCGAATGTGAATTCACAATGGGCGTATCCATCAATTCTTATCACTTGATGAACATTACTTAGTTGTTTCAGAGAATGCTCGAAAGACCTCGGACTTACAGTGTAATCTAAATCACCGTAGAATAAATATTTTGGACTGTGTTCAAGAAGAGTTAAATTATATATTGGTGGTGATGTTGTGCCATAAATTTGAAGATTCTTAGTTGGTCCGTAGTTATATTTAAAAATATTATCTAAAATCATAAAATTCTCTTGTTAATATCATTTTTCTACTTCCACCAAAACCTAGACAACCCAGACCGTGACTAAAGTACTTTAGTCACGAGCTTTAGTCACGGGGTGGAGGTTGCACCTGCGCATTTTATTTAAGACTAGCTGTCGCCCGCGACTTCGTTCCGGCAGTGTTTAATAAAAATGTAATTCGTTTTACTCCTCTTGTTCTAGACATACTCGTAGTAAGAGTCAATTCTATCAATAAGATTAGCAATTTTAATTTAAAGAAATTAATTATATAAAGTTTTGTCAATAATGCACTTCAGCGCGCCATCTCGAATTCAACTATTTAACTATAACTATGATTGAATCTCAATGTCAAATTTTATTCTATTGAAAAGAGCTGTTTTGAGGATTTTCCCGGCAATTATTCGAATTTTTCTCATCTTTTAAACCTTCCCTAGACCTCCACGAATAATTCAAGACCAAGATGAGATAAATCCGTTCAGCCGTTCTCGAGTTTTAGCGAGACTAACGAACAGCAATTCATTTTATATATATATAGATACTATTTTATTGTATAATAAAAAAAACTTACTTCTTCGAATCCATTGGCTAACTTGTAAGTAATTTTTAGATGAAGCACTTCCAGGAAACCTCAATTTAAGTAGTCTAAAGATTTCAAAAGGCATTTCTGCTGGAGCTCTCCCATTAACACTAAAAAATATATCTCTGCAGTAGCTAATGGAAAGTTTTAAACAAAATCCCCATAATGCATGTTTGAAGGCTGTTCCGATATCAAAAGATCGAAAACCAATCTGCGTTAACAATACCTTGCTTGCAAGATTAATAAATGGTCCAATATTAAATACACTTGCTGGATACTTCATACCGAAAAATGGCGCTAACCCAATTAATTTGTTAATTTTAACCTCATATTCAGGCTTCTCTAAACACATGATATAATACATAGTGCATCCCTGCGAGTGACAAACAAACGTCAGATCAGTTTGATTTGTTTCATCGAGGAATGTAATCGATGGCCGCAGGTGTATCATATAGTCCGATTTCATCGTGACCAAAATTCCAGAAATCGTCGGTTGCTGGTGGGTGTACGGCGGTCATTGAATCGCCATTGCCACGATTGTTTATTAGCCAGACGTCATATCCAGCATCGGCCAACACAAAGCCTAGAATTATCAGTATATAATTATATAACTAGAAAATATCAAATTAATTTCAATCTATTATTGTAGTCACCTAAAGCGTCCGGTGGTCCTCTGATGAGCCAATAATACGCCGATTGGAGGAAGCCATGATTTAGAAACACTACTTTTGGATTGGGATCTGATGTATTTTTACTTAGAATACGATTTATGGTTAACAGATAACCATCTTCAGTTAGTACTTCATGAACTTGCTGAGCATAATTGTGTTTTTCTAATATCCCTGTCTATGGAAACAGTGTATTAAGTATCAAGTGCGCTAAACGGCATTTTAACAACATTTAGTTATATATTTTTTACTTCCACATAATTTCTAGGTTAAATTTTTGCGTTTGAACTTTTTATTTTAAAATTTGCACTTTAGTCACACCAAAGTACTTTAGTCACGGCTTTGACTATCCGTGACTAAAGTGCCACTTTTCGTATCTCAAACTCGTGGAAAAAGTTGTAGTTTAAAGGTGGAAGTAAAAAATTAAATTTGAAAATCCTTACTGTGTTTAACTTTCGATTTATAGGATCAATAGGTGTTTGAGCAAAGGTTATTGTCACGAAAACAACCGAATAAATTACACAAAACTGAAACATTTTACAATTATTGTTTTTGATTAAAAACTGATGGTTATATATACATTGTATATGCAAATACAATTTATCAGTTTATAATACGAGTATGTACACACAAAAAAACATAAATAATTAATAATGTTTCAAACGGTATATTTAATATATTGAAAATATATTTGTTACAACAAATTATTCTGTTTCTAACAGGAAATAACACCGCATTTATGATGCTAAAATTTTAAGTATTTCATTGTTGATATTGGAAACACTCACACCAAAGATAAAATCGTTATGTGCGTAGGTATTAATTCTATATGCCTTAACAAGATTTTCAATTTTATACTTGAGTGCAAACTCAACAGCTTTGGGGATGATAAGTGTGTCTTGCCCACCGTAGAAGAAGTATTTTGGTGTTTTGGTCAACTTGTTTAAATTATAGATTGGTGGAGTGCTTGTCCCATAAACCTTCATGTTATTAATTCCATAATCATACTTATGAATGTCATCCCGCCCAATCCAGGATGCGATTTGATAGAAATTCTTAGCGGACGCATCGTATGGGAAGTGTTGAAGAATTTGCCTCAAAATAGCGTTGTTAATCTCATTGGGAGAATATCCAAAACCGACAATGTATGCGTATCGACAGAGTGTTATACCGACGGTGTTGCAGTATGCATGAACAATGTCATACATTGCTTTCCCAAAGTCAAAGTTGAATTTATTAGCCTAAAAGAAAATTTTATAAAAATTTAAAATTGAGGTTAAAAGTTTTTATATTACTTGACTTATTGGATCAATGAATTTTCCGAATTGATAAATATCCGATGCGTATTTTTGGCTGAGCAGAGGGCCATACCAATATATTTGTCAAATATGTCTTCGTATTCAGGATATTCTAGACAAAACATGAAGTATGTAGTTGCTCCTTGCGAATGCCCGATGAAAGTCATATCAGGTGCGCCTGTTTGGTCGAGAATGTAATCGACAGCTACTTTTGTGTCGTTGATGCCAATATCGTCCAGACTAAAGTCCCAGAAGTCTCCTGCGTATCCTTCAATTGGTGATATACCATTACCTCTGTTGTTGAGCATCCATGGATCATAACCAGCTTTTACCAAGGCGTATGCTGTGATTTATGGCATAATATTTCGAAAATTTTTAATTTTGAGAATTTTAATGTTTAGATTTTGTTGCTTACCGAGTCCATAATTGGGTCCTCGCAGAGTCCAATCGTTTGAACTGGATACGTAGCCGTGATTGAGGAAAACAACTTTTCCAGCGGGTTGATTAGGATCCTGGCTTTGTAATCGGTCTAGGACTACGTCGTATCCATCTGCGGTTGTTAATGTATGCATTTGGTGAAGATAATTGTATTGATCCACAGTTTCCACCTGAAAATTTAATATTTAATGTTTTTTATTATTTCCTATTATTTTCTATTCTATTTTCAGTTTCTGATGATGCCCACAGAGCGAAACATGTTAAACTCTCAAACAAATTGTACAATCCAAAGAAAAATCACAAATTATTTTAATAAATATATTTTATAAATTTAATGTTTTATTTTATTAGAAAGTGAGTGAAAATTATATTACCATGTTGGATTGGGTGTTTTTTGGAGCAGCTTTTACTTCAATGAAATATATTGACAGTAATGCCAGAAATAGGCATTGGGAAAACAGCATCATTTTAAAACAATTTGCTTAAAATGTTTTTTGTTGGTGTTTATAAAGCTTTCACTGAGTTTTATGTTAAGTTTTAAATAATTTCACCTATTTATACAAATATTTTGGATTAATTTTGTCGTGTTTTGCAATAAATTAGTAATGAAATATTGATTAGTGAAATATTTCAGGTTACAACCGATTAAGTTGTATAAATTTTGAAATTATTTAGTAATTTTATTTGCAAAACATTGGGTCGTAAACATTTGAATGAACTCGTACAAAGCTATAAATTTAATTTAAATTAATTTTATTACTATAATTTTCCATTAAATATTTTGTCTAAAATTGATCATTTAGGCCCTATTTGCAATTTTAATATTATAAAACTCAGTGCAAAATACAGTTTTTTTTTAAATAAAATTACAAATTGGGCCTAAAATAATCAATGTAGAATTAAATTATGTATCAGAACGTTCAATTGCTTGAAGTTGCTGAACTACCTGCTGAAAACACCCTGTATCTCCTAAACCTCTTGGGTTATTTAAGATTTCTCAACAGCATGCAGCAGTAAAAGAGATCTTTTACAATATGCATACCTTTTCTATAGCCTAAACCTTTTAGAAATGCCTTTAATCTTGTGTAAAAAATTAATATTTATCATTATTTTTTCAATCATGCTGTAGAAAACACCCTATATTTCCGATAATAATAGAGCAATTTAGAGTCTCTTACCGTCAAGTTTTAGCTTAAGAGACCCTTTATATTGTACACACCTTTTCCACGGTCTAAACCTTTAGAAAATGTCCTAAATCTTTTATTAAAAGTTGTTATTTTTCATTATTTTTCAAAACATGCTGTGGAAAACACCCTATATCTCCGATACTAATTAGGTAATTTGAGATCTCTTAACGTCAAGTTATAGCTCAAGAGACATTTTATAATGTGCATACCTTTTCGAAGGTCTAAACCATTAGAAAATGCCCTTAATCTTTTATTAAAAATTGCTGTTTTTCAATCATTTTCAAAACATGCTGTTGAAAACTCCCTATATCTCCGATATTAAATGAGTAATTTTAGATCTCTTAATGTCAAGTAATAGCTCAAAAGACCCTTTATAATGTGCATACTCTTTCGAAGGTCTAAACCTTTAGGAAATGTCCTAAATCTTCTATGGAAAATATCTATTTTTCAATATTTTTCAAAACACGCTACGGAAAACACCCTATATCTCCGATACTAATTGAGTAATTTGAGATCCCTTAACGTCTAGTTATAGAATGAGAGCCCCTTATATTATATGCATACCTTTTCTACGGTCTAAACCTTCAGGAAATGTCCTGAATTTTCTATGGAAAATTACTATTTTTCATTATTTTTCGAAACACGCAGTGGAAAACACCCTATAACTCCTGTACTAATAAAGAAATTTGGGGTTTCTCTACTTAATTTTGTAGTCTAAGAGGTCTTCTACAAGGGGTATATTCTTTCATTGCACTAAATTCTTGGGAAGTGCTCCAAAACGGCCCCAAAAACATGTATTTTTACAGTATTTTTCTGTTCTAAATCGAAAAGCAAAGTCCATTTTGAGCTGAAACTATCGGTCGAAAGACAGGGTCGAACTTTTTTAAAATTATTTTTGGTCAAAAGTCAGAGTCGAACTTTTTTTAAAAATTATTTTCGGCCGAAAGTCAGGGTCGAACTTTTTTTAAAATTATACATAGTAAATTTCTTTTTCGTGCGAAGCCAATTTTTTTTGTAAAAATTGCCAATAGGGCCTAAACAATCTGTGCTGGAGGCAAATTGTTCTTAAATAAATTAATTAATATGCAACAAACTATCCAAAACCGAAATCAGATTTGAAAAATTATAATTTTTAATTCTTGATAAAAAAATGAAAAAGTTTTGCCTTTTTTATGACGAAATCTTTTCACGGTTTATGCTTTTTATGCCATGAATTTAAAAATTGGAATTTAGTATTTTTTTCTTTGGATTATGATAAAACAGGTCATTATAAATCATTTATTCTTATAAACTTTTCTTCCACAACTTTTATATAAGGCCCTATTGGCAATTTTATTACACAAATTAAAACACTGATTATTATGAAAATGATTAGTCTCATAACAAAATTTCACTAAGATAAAATAACCAGAATTATGGTTCCTTCCATTTTCTGTCATAAACTATTGAAATTTTCAATTTTTTCTATATACATATAAAATGATGGAGAAAACTGAAAATCTAGTTTATCGCACTTTTCTCGGAAACCATTGGGGCTAACAAAAAATGGTTTTCAGATTAATAAACAGCGGATAATTCAACATTAGATAGCATTTTGAAATATTTATATTTCAACTATTATGTAATAAGTGAAAATGGTCAATAACTCAAAAACTAATTAAGATATCGAATCAAAACCATGATTAATGGATTCTAGGCATCTTTCAGCATCAGATTACAAAGTTTGAAGAAAATCTGAGTTGTGGTTCTTTTTGGTCCGTTTAGATTTTCACCGGTAATTTTGGAAATATTGATGTTATTGAAAAATTGACTGGATATTTTTCATCCCATTGCAATTCTCTATCGATTGGCGTTTTCCATTTTCTCGTAGCTTAAAGTTTAATTTTTAGGCCTCAAAATACTTAAGTGTAACCTCTTGATACTTTTCAAGTGGTTTTTGTCAACTTTTTAGAAACAAAAAATTAAATCTGCCGTTTCATAGATCCTTATCATGGCATGAAGAAAGTGCAAAAAGTTTTTCTGCAACTCTTATAGTTTCCGAGAAAATCGCGTCGGAAAATTCACTTTTCACTTTTCAAAAGTAGAAATTTTAAATGCTTATCATATGTAGAATTGATTGTTGAACGCAATGCAGTTTTCCGTTTTTGTATATCTCTATTAGTTCCGGAGATAATCGGTAATTAAGTCATGCTGGATGTACATGTTTCACTTAAATGCTCCTACAGAGTAAACAGTAAATACTAATGAGTAAGAAGTTTTATTTATAAGTATATTAAGAGTCTCTCTACGTAATGGCATTATTAATTTTTAAGCATAATTAGATTTACATTATAAAATGTCAGGCGCCTCCGTCATATTTTAGATAATTATTTGCATGTTTTTTTAAAAATTGAAAAAGTTAAGTTTTTATTGCTACTTATGAAAGAGGACAATTATATGAAAAAAATATTTTAATGGATTATTTTAAGTAGACGTTCAGTTTAGAAGATATTCGCATAAAACTATTGAATACAATTTTATCAGTAGGCCCTTAAATAAGGGTTGTAGGTAAAAACTTTACTAAAATAAATGATTTTCAATGGCCTGTTTTATCATAATCCGAAGAAAAAATTTTAAAATTCCGACTTTTAAATTTATGCTATAAAAAACATAAACCGTGAAAAGATTTCGTCATAAAAAAGGCAAAACTTTTTCATTTTTTAATCAACAATTAAAAGTTGGAATTTTCAAAATCTGATTTCGGATTCTGATAGCCTGTTGAATTCTGATTACTTTTTTTCAAAACAATTTTTTTCTAGCATTGACCACTTAGGCCCTATTGGCAATTTTAAAGAAAAATTTGACTTCGCACAAAAAAATTTCGTCCTGAAAAAATTTTAAGAAAATAGTTCGACCCTGTTCTTCGGCAGGTAATAATTTCATTAAAAAAAGTTCGACCCTGTCTTTCAGCATAAAATATTTTTATTGACCGTTTTGAACGCCATCTGTCGACCAATATTAATTTCAACGAAATCAAAATTAAAAATAGTGACAAAAATGGCCATTTTTGACGGTCATTTCAGAGCACTTTCGAAGGGTTTCAAGAGTCGTGTATATACTCACCGTGGAGAGGGACTCTTTAACTATCATATGACGATAAAATAGCCTAAATTACTCAATTGGTTTCTGAGATACAGGGCATTTTTCACATCAATTTTTGAAAATTTGTAAAAATAGCATTTTTTAATTGGCACTTTAGGGCACTTCCGGAAGATTAAAGTGTTAGTAGCACCCGCATCTTATAAAAGGGCTTTCTAACTTTCATATGATGGTGAAAAACTGAAATTGCTTCATTGGTTCCTGATATATAGGGTGTTTTCTACTGCAACTTTTACAAATAAGAAAGAAAAGTTTGGTGGCCATTTAGGGGCACTTCCGGAAGGTTTAGGAGGTCGGGAAGGTAGTCATCTTATAAAGGAAGTTTTTATCTATAACATGATGATAAAATTGCCCTAATTACTTTATTAGTTCCGGAAATATAGAGAGTTTTTCACAAAAAGTACTATAAATTTGCACATAAAATCGCCAGTTTTTATCAATTTTAGGGCATTTCCTGTGGAAGAATAAAGTCGAGAAGGTACATATATTATAAAGGGCCTCTTTGTCGACAACCTAGTAACAAAAAACCTAAAATTGTCTTACGGATAGAGGATATACGGGGTGTTTCCCGTAGCAAATTTTACAAATTTCACATTATACTAATTTTAAAGGGCTTTTTAAGGTACTTACTAAAGTTTTAGAGGCTCAATTAGGTACAATAAGTATTAAGGACTATACAATCTATAACCTAGAATTGAAAGACCTCATATTGCTCCTCTGGTTCCAAAGATATAGGGTGTTTTCCACAAAAAGTATAAAAAATAGCAAGTTTTTGTTAATTTTAGGGCATTGCCTAAGAAAGTATAAAGTCGGGAAGGTACACATATGATAAAGGATTCCTTTATCTACTATTAAATCATAAAAAATTAATTACTCCACTGGTATAGGAAATACAGGGTGTTTCTCGCAATACATTTTAAAATTGTGCGAAAAATTGCAATTATAGGGCACCACTTAAAAGTATTAAGGGTTAAAACGTACACAAATGATAAAGGGCTTCATAAACTACAGTATGACTGTATAAAATCCTAGATTGATTTATAAATGCTAAATTGAACAGACTTTCGAAATAAAATGAGTTGCCCTGTGTTGTTATTCACCATGCTATTGCAAACAAATAGTTAGGAAATACATAGTTTTTACATTTATCTATTATAAAACATGTTTTTATGTACATTGTTGCAAACAAACACTTTATTGCTTCATGCAATTACATGCTTTCGTAATCCATTCATAATGCGTCATTCGTAGAACTTCATGCAGTTTACAAACGAAAAAATTACATAAATATATTGTGTAACATACACCAGAAGAATTATCAACTAGTTTTTAAGTTGTCTGCATTCTTTAGAACTCTATTCAATCTCTTCCCAATCAACTTTGGATATGTATTGTTCTTAATTCTAAACTCTTTGCTCTGGTGAGACACAGCACCATGTGCAAACTGATCCTCACACAGCTTATTTAAAGGCCTAATTAATTCCATATACTTTTGATCATTTTCTAACTGAGCCAAAGCAACAGCTGCAGTTTCTAATGTACTTAAACATCCATCACTCGGCTGTGTCCTTATTGCATAGTTACTAATCATAGGACTAATTATTTTCACCTGCTCAATTTTATGAAGAATTGTACTGCTTGCATAAATTGCTTTTGCTTGTGGCCAAGTGCCATCAATTAATACAATGTTAAATGGTTTTTGTGCAGATGACAAAGTACTTATCTCAATTGAATTTGGGCTTGGATACAAAAGCACTGTATTGGGCGCACTTAAAATGTCTTCTAGTCCTTCGTGGCGGCCAGGGAACTTCTTGCCTTTAAATATTAAGCAATTCCCCTCATGCAGACCAAGTTGAAGCATTGGAGCAGTTCTTAAACACCTTTTTTCCTCCGCTGGATGTTGAAGTAGAATAATTCTGCAGTTGGTGAAGAATGGTGGATCAGGTAAAGCAACACACCAACACACAACCATAGGACGCCTAAAACATTATTATTTAGAATGTTTATTGCTTATTTTTGTTGTAATTACTTACTCGCACTTGGAACAAATGCTTCTTTTGGTTGCTGGTTCAGCTGGGATGTTTGCCAAGTCCAGGAGCACATCTGGATTATCACTATCCTCACAATTCATTGTTTATCTGTAATAGAAAAACAAATTATATCAAATTACATTTAATATTGTTATATTCTTTGTTATACTTGCTAGTAAATCACATAAACATTTTCATAATAATGCGCACTGAAGATATCCCCTGAAAGGCGACTACTAAACATACGTTTAACCTCAACTAAATCAAAACAAATCAAACACATGCTAAGATTGTTTTTATTTAAACTTATAAAAACTATCTAAAATCTATTTGATGATGGCTGTAAATGTTTCATATGTATCTGCAGCTTGCAATTATGTTCCTGGGGCAGCAGATTGGGGCAATAATAAGTTAATTTGTTATGCTGCATGCAACTCTGTTCTGATTTACGATCCAAATGTAAGTTTTATGTTCAATTATTAAAACTAGTAAGAATAAAGCCTTTTATTCAATTTTTAGCAAGGAGGTGGTAAAGTAACATATACTCTAAACAAACATACAAGTAGAGTAAATGGTGTCAAGTGGATTTGGGGATCTGAATATGAAAATGAGCTGGTTTCTGTTTCTTCTGATAAAACAGCTGTTGTATGGACTAAAAATGATAAAGAATACCAACATGTTGTTCTTAAAGGTCATGAGGATGTTGTCACAGTAGTTGATGCACTGTATAAGGATATTTTGGAAGGACATATTGTAATAGCAACTGGTTCTTCTGATTCGAGGATAAACATCTGGGAAAGAAAGACTTTCAATGGTAAAATATACCATGGTTGTCGATTTGCTTCAATCTACAAGGTTTTCTTTAATTTTCAGGAGAAATTTCACTTAAGCAAACTTTAAATTTGGGCTACAACATTGCAGTATCTCTACGAATATGTTTAATCCCTGAATCTTCTGATTTATTAATTGCTTGTGGTACTAATCAATCAAATATTCAGTTATTTATCAAGAAAACTAATGAAATAGAAGCTGGACCTGTCCTTCAAGGGCATGAAGACTGGGTCAGAGGTTTAGACTTCACTCTAGATGGAAAAAACATCCTCTTGGCATCATCTTCACAAGATCACTTCATACGAGTATGGAAATTCATCGATAAGCATGAATCAACTGTAATAACTCAACTTGAACTTCAAACAAATAAAGTCTGTTACAATATCATAATTGATTCAGTCTTAGCTGGACATGATGGTTGGGTATATTCAGTAAATTGGTGTCAAGGAAAGTTACTATCTGCTTCACTTGATAAAAGCATGATTGTCTGGGAATTTAATGATGACGCATCAATGTGGTTGGAATCTGATCGGGTGGGTGCCATTGGTGGGAACACACTGGGTTTCTACGGTGGGATGTTCAGTCGCGATGGGCAATTTATGTTAGCACATGGTTACCACGGCGCGTTTCACATTTGGAAGTTTGATGAAGATTTATACACGTGGGAACCACAAGTTACAATCGGGGGACATTTTAAAGAAGTCACTGACATATGTTGGGACCCATTGGGATTGTATCTAATGTCTGTCTCTGGTGACCAAACCACTAGAATTCATGCACCTTGGAAAAAATCATCTGAAGATGTCTCAACTTGGCATGAAGTAGCAAGACCTCAAGTACATGGCTTTGATATAAGTTGTTTGGCTATAATAGATCATTATCGGTTTGTTTCCGGCGCCGAGGAGAAAATAATCCGAAGTTTCCAAGCGCCGCAAACATTCGTTGATAATTTCAAACAGATTTGTAAAATAAACGATGATGACACAGATTACAACGCACCCAAAGGTGCTTCTGTGCCTTCATTAGGCCTATCAAACAAAGCAATCTATCAGAATGATAATACCGAACAAGCTACGGTCAAAAATAAAAAGGATATGTATCCCGAAGAGTCGCATTTTACTGCTGTGTCGCTAACTGAACCGCCAACAGAAGAGAATCTGCTTCAGAATACGCTTTGGCCCGAGGTTCAGAAACTCTACGGTCACGGATACGAATTATACGCGCTGGCGGCGTCCCCCGATGGGAAATATATCGCGTCCAGTTGCAAATCTACGACCCTCGAGCACTCCGCCATCATCGTATGGAATACCACAAACTGGCAGATTGTCCAAAAACTACTCTCACACACACTTACCATTGCGCAGCTTGCTTTTTCTCCGGACTCACGGCATATTCTTTCCGTCTCACGCGATAGGCGTTGGTCACTGTTCACAAAGGACGAGTCTGATTTGTTTACACTGACGGCGACCACCGGGAAGGATAAGAAGCTGGCTGTGCACACCCGCATCGTGTGGTGTTGCGCTTGGACGCACGATTCGCTTTACTTCGCGACGGGATCACGCGATGGCAAAGTCGCCGTGTGGACGCGCGGAGATGAGACGATCGCGGCGAGCCAGGGCAATCCTCTGGGGTCGTGTCGGCCGGCGTCGGTGGTTTTGGAAATGAACAAGGAGTCGATAACGGCACTGGCGTTTGCACACGGGCTGCTCGCGGGTGATTATTTGATGGCTGTCGGGTTGGATTCCGGCGTGATATGTTTACACAAGTGGAATGTCGAAGGATTCACACAGATTGCGAATATTGATCATGGGTAACATCACAACAACAAATATATTCACCTTTATTATCAAAACTATGTTTTTGTTTGCAGAATTGGACATTGCTTGACGGTGAAACGTTTGACTTTCAGACCAAGGACAAAACATTCCACTGAGGATACTGTTCAACTAGCTAGTTGTAGTTCTGATCATTCTGTTCGTATCTTTGATATAAATTTGTAATTTGTAAATAAAAGCACGCTGGGAATGAATTAATTGGTCGTTAACAACTGCTGCGCGAGAGGCGTTGATGTGTAAAACAGTTTCCTAATTGAATTTGTTTACGCTTCGATTACATTGCGATATATTTCTTTCTCGGTTCAATTAAAACCGGCGCGACGCAAACTTTGAAGCGACAAAACACTGCTTAACATCGGAGTCGGGGCGTGGGCTGGTTATTTTATCGATGGGAAATATTTCGCAAGCACGCGATGTTTGAATCAGCGCAACATCAATAAAATTAACCAAACCGAAATAAAATCAACATTTTCTTTTAAAACATTATTTTATTTTCCATAGAAAATACGTCTAGTTTACCTGCGAGGGGCGTAAGCCCGTGAGAAATATCCTTCAGTGCACACACCCCTAAGCCAGCACCATTATTTATTATTCAATGGAATTGAATGGAAAGCGCGACAGTGGTGAACGATTGGGTAAGATGGGAAGGTAATGCGGGCAGGGATGGCAATTCGAGTCCCGTTTTCGAAATCTTGCGATGCGCCCGCCGATTGAAAGAAAATAGCACTATTATCCATTAGTCGAACAATTGTGCTAAACTGTTATCGGATCGATTTTAAATTTAACTCGCCTTAACGGCCGCATATTCCCGCCCGAGCAGCGTTATGAACAAGGCATAAAAAACTTGTTTTTTGGGGCATAAATTCGGCAGACACGAAAGAAAAAGCTTTCTCAGCGCACGCAAAGTCTCATATTCTCGTTATCGTTACGATATGTTTCTTTTTGATGTTTTCTTCATCAATTTTTCACCCATACCCACAGAAGGAAAACAAAAATCTTATTTGATGCTTAACGATTTGCCATAACTCGTGATGCTGCGTTTCCATTTCACTTATTAGCCGCGTGCGACGCATGCGGAATTAATTATTGCAATTCTCATTACTGGGAATAAAATGATGGGCACGTTTTATCACTCGCAAGATTAATCCGTGGTATTAATTAAGCGCGGCGTACCCAACAAATCATAATCACGTATATATTATTGTCGGCCGCAAAACCTTCGACACGCAAGCTGGCAACATTTTGTTCCTCTTTTTTTTTGTTTGCTTCTTCGTGCCGAAAACCAGTCGTGGCCATCGAACAAGACGTCGAGAGTGGTTGATTCATTACGCACCTGTAGACTACAGGCGTTGGGCTGGCGAGTAAATTAAATCGACACCCCAAGTCAATTAAAAACGAATCTAAGAAATGGAAGCAAAATAAAATGAAATTGGAATTTATATACGTGAAAATAATACAAAAATTTGAAATTTTGGACTGAAATCATTTTTGAAGGGCGTTTTTAGGTCCTTAGTGAAGGTTTAGAGGTTCAAAAAGGGATGATAATGATAAAGGGCCTCTTTATCTACAACCTAGTAAAAAGAGACTTAAAATTGCTCTAATAGGACCAGAGATATAGGGTGTTTTCTATAAAAATGATACAAATTTGCAAAAAAATGGAAGTTTTTATCAATTTTTGGGCACTTTCAGATTAAATAAAGAGTGGTAAAAATATATAAGTTGTGAAGGGTCCCTTTATCTACCATCTAGTCAATAGAAACCTAAAATTACTCGATTGGTTTAGGAGATACAGAGTGTTTTCCATAACACATTTTGTAAATTCGAGAAAAATTGCAATTTTATTTCACCACTTGAGAATATAAAGGGTTGGAAAAGTACGCGATTGATAATTGGCTATTATATAACTGTATGAAACCCTGAATCGATACCCAAAGTCAATTATAAACGAATCTAAGAAATGAAAACGAAATAAAATAAAATTGGAGTTTATATACATGAAAATAATACAAAAATTTAGTCTGTAGGTGAAAAAGTTGAAATTTTGGACAGAAAACATTTTTGAAGGGCGTTTTTAGGTCCTTACTGAAGGTTTAGAGGTTCAAGAAGGTATGATAATGATAAAGGGCCTCTATATCTACAACCTAGTAAAGAGAGACTTAAAATTGCTCTAATGGAACCAGAGATATAAGGTGTTTTCTTAGAAAATTTTGCAAATTTGCAAAAAATTTGAAGTTTTTGTCAATTTTAGGGCACTTTCAGATTAAATATAGAGTGGTAAAAGTATATAAGTTGTGAAGGGTCTCTTAATCTACCACCTAGTCATAAGAAACCTAAAATTACTCGATTGGTTTAGGAGGTACAGAGTGTTTTCCATAACACATTTTGTAAATTCGAGAAAAATTGCAATTTTATTTCACCACTTGAGAATATAAAGGGTTGGAAAAGTGCGCGATTGATAATTGGCTATTATATAACTGTATGAAGCCCTAAATCGATACCCCAAGTCAATTATAAACGAATCTAAAGAATGAAAACGAAATAAAATAAAAATCGTAATTTATATACGTGAAAATAATACGAAAACTTATCCGCAGGCCGAGAGAAAACTGAAATCGCCGTCTCAAAACAGGTACAAGTGTTTGTTAAACAAAAGTTTGCGCGCTCCGGATCGCAATTTTCCCCCAAACTGGCTGGAGGGTTGGTCAAAGTCTGCAAATTGCTTTGTTGTACCCGGCGCGTTACCATTGCGACGGCACAGAGCGCCGGCGACGAATTTAAATATAAAATCGAATCAACTTTGGAAATTATTTATCGACGGTGCCGCGGGATTAATTGCACTGGCGCGCGCGCCTCGTCCCCGTATTGATTATGACGTACGTTTTCATTAACTTCTACACCGGCATTTGTCTGAGTATTTCATTTCAAACGAATAAATACAGCCCAAACAGTTGTGGGTGAAAGTTTCAAGTTTAGTTTTTGGTTACAAACGCTGTACAACATAGTTCCGAACTGGCTTTTAATTGAAAACGCGACTAATTCGAAATTAATTTCCATGTACGCGTATAAATTTTATTTATATTATATTAATATGAACATATATTAAAATCGGAAGTGTTTGAAGTGTACGTGTATGAAAGAATTTTGTTTTTCAAGATTGCCACTAACATTTTTCCTCGGCGCGCTTCAATTTCAGTTTTAATTTATATAAAATTGCGTGCCGAGCTTGGCAGCAATGCGGAGGGGTTTGTATTGTGGAAAATGTACGCTTACGACACGCCGAACGGAATGTTACGTCGCGGTAATTTAATATTTTAATGAATTTATGTTAAATAAAGAAACGTGCTGTCGCGCTATCGCGTGCTTTTCTTTGTTTTGGTTTATACAATTGCGTCAAAATATTTTCCACTCATCGGAAGGGAAATTAAACATAAGACTACCGAAATTTTTTTGAAATAAAAACTAGTTTAGAGTCGATGTGTTTTCAAAATTAATGAAACGACATTAAAAAGAGTTTGAGTTGTCTATATGGTTTAGCCTGCGATATTTTACAATTGGGAATATCTCGTAAACTAAAAGAGATAAATAGGATCTGATCGCAGCGTCTTAATCTACGCACAATTCTCTTTAAGATAGGCGAGTTAAAACGGAAATCTGAGAGATGAAATTTTCATTCTTAAGAAAAAATTGCCAAGGGGGGGTGCTTGATACTTTTTTTCGACGATTTTTGATAATTAATATCTCTTGAACAAAAAGCGACAGCAACCAATGAATTGCTGATTATGAAAGACTGGAAAATTCTCTATTAGATAGAAATATAAAATATTTATATTTCCTACAGTAAAAGGTCGAAAAATGCGTCTAAAAGTGCTAAAAAGTGACATTTTGCAATTTTTTACGATGTTTTTAAATCGCGAATATCTCGTAAACTAAAAAAGATAAATAAGATCTGATCGCAGCGTTTTAATCTACGAACTAATTTCTATAAGATAGGCTAGTTAAAACGGAAATCTGAGAGATGAAATTTTCATTCTTAAGAAAAAATTGCCAAGGGGGGGTGCTTGATACTTTTTTTCGACGATTTTTGATAATTCATATCTCTCAAACTAAAAGAGATACCAACTAACGAATTGCTGATTATGAAAGACTGGAAAATTCTCTATTAGATCAAAATATAAAATAATTATATTTCCTATAGTAAAAGGTCAAAAAAGGCGTCTAAAAGTGCTAAAAAGTGACATTTTGCAATTTTTGACGATTTTTTTCAATCGCGAATATCTCATAAACTAAAAGAGATAAATAAGATCTGATCGCAGCGTTTTAATCTACGAACTATTCCCTATCAGATAGAATAGTTAAAACGGAAATCTGAGAGAAGAAATTTTTATTCTTAAGAAAAAATTGCCAAGGGGGGGTGCTTGATACTTTTTTTCGACGATTTTTGATAATTAATATCTCTTGAACTAAAAGCGACAGCAACCAACGAATTGCTGATTATGAAAGATTGGAAAATTCTCTATCAGATAAAAATATAAAATAATTATATTTCTTGCCGTAAAACGTCCAAAAATGCGACTAAAAGTGCTAAAAAGTGACATTTTGCAATTTTTCACGATTTTATTCAATCGCGAATATCTCGTAAACTAAAAGAGATAACTAGGAACGGATCTCGGCACCTTAATCTACGGACTGATCTCTATAAGATATGACAGTTAAAACGAAAATCAGAGAGATAAAATTTTAATTCTTAAGAAAAAATTGCTAAGGGGGGGGTGCTTGATACTTTTTTTCGACGATTTTCGATAATTCATATCTCTCAAACTAAAAGAGATACCAACTAACGAATTGCTGATTATGAAAGACTAGAAAATTCTCTATTAGATCAAAATATAAAATAATTATATTTCCTACAGTAAAAGGTCAAAAAATGCGTCTAAAAGTGCTAAAAAGTGACATTTTGCAATTTTTGACGATTTTTTTCAATCGCGAATATCTCGTAAACTAAAAGAGATAAATAAGATCTGATCGCAGCGTCTTAATCTACGGAGTATTCCATATCAGATAGGATAGTTAAAACAGAAATCTGAGAGAAGAAATTTTCATTCTTAAGAAAAAATTGCCAAGGAGGGGTGCTTGATACTTTTTTTCGACGATTTTTGATAATTCATATCTCTCAAACTAAAAGAGATACCAACTAACGAATTGCTGATTATGAAAGACTGGAAAATTCTCTATTAGATCAAAATATAAAATAATTATATTTCCTACAGTAAAAGGTCAAAAAATGCGTCTAAAAGTGCTAAAAAGTGACATTTTGCAATTTTTGACGATTTTTTTCAATCGCGAATATCTCGTAAACTAAAAGAGATAAATAAGATCTGATCGCAGCGTCTTAATCTACGGAGTATTCCCTATCAGATAGGATAGTTAAAACGGAAATCTGAGAGAAGAAATTTTCATTCTTAAGAAAAAATTGCCAAGGGGGGGTGCTTGATATTTTTTTTTGACGATTTTTGATAATTAATATCTCTTGAACTAAAAGCGACAGCAACCAACGAATTGCTGATTATGAAAAACTGGAAAATTCTCTATCAGATTAAAATATAAAATAATTATATTTCCAACAGTAAATGGTCAAAAAATGCAACTAAAAGTGCTAAAAAGTGACATTTTGCAATTTTTGACGATTTTTTTCATCGCAAATATCTCGTAAACTAAAAGAGATAAATAAGATCTGATGGCAGCGTCTTAATCTACGAACTATTCTCAATAAGATAAGCTAGTTAAAACGGAAATCTGAGAGATGAAATTTTCATTCTTAAGAAAAATGATACTTTTTTTCGACGATTTTTGATAATTAATATCTTCTAAACTAAAAGATCTAGAAGTCAACAAATTTCGAATAATGAAATTTTGGAATAGTCTCTATTACACTAGAATATAAAATATTGTTGGGCAAAGGAGCGGATAATGTGACTAAAAGTGCTAAGAATTTCAAATTTTGACAATTTTTTTTGCTTTACTTTAAAATGTAAGTAACTGGCGTCAATTTAGTAAAAAATTAAAACTCGTCTGCACTCACATTGAAAGTTTGACACTAGCGCACAAGATAGAAGTTTGCCGAGAGGAGTTGGGAAAACTTGCGTGTGTGCCATGTGCACTCCTCCCGTACGCCCACACTTACCAACGCCAAACTTCCTGATACGAGAGTGGAAAAACGATCATCCGCGCGCTCGGTTATAATAACACGTCGTGTGCACTTTGTGCACTTTATTATCGAGCTTATTAACTCACAGATATTCCGAAACTTCCTCATGAGTATTATTTAAGTTTCCAACTTACGGTGAACTAGTTAGTTTCTTTATGTAAATGAATATAAATGTTGCAAAAATTTGCGTCCGTGTTACACGTAACCGCAGAAATTATCGCTGCGGCCGAATTTCGCTCGCCGAAACAATGCGAACTAATTCCGTTCGCGTTTCGGCCGGATGACCTCTCACCCCTTTCACTGTCCGTAAACTCGGCGACTCACGATTGTTGAAATATTCATCGGACCTCGACCCATCAGACGCAGGCGATTATTATCAAAAACGCGAACAATGTGTATCTAATTTACCCTTGGATGTGAATTCACACCGAAATTATCTTGGAATTAATTTTCGCCGGCTGGTAATTAATATTATTAGTGCATGCGCAGTAAAATTAGGCGTGGCATATTTAATTATGCCCCAGGAAAAGTAAAAACAATTGAAGAAATTTAAAAATAGTAATTTTTGCATGGATATAATCAATTTATTACAATACAGAGATTTTTCTTAAAAAAAATGGAGTGAAAAACTTTAAAAATAAATAAAAAGCAACCTAACCTATGCGACTGTACTGCTAGACAACTTAGACACGACTGAGCGTTTTGCGCGTTGCGCGCTGCCTTTTATACCCTCAGTAAATCAAAAAAGTAGTGGGGAAAGATACTCTGCCACGTTATTAGTCGCTCATACGTATACGTGTGTGAGTCATAAGTGTTAGCCGAGCGTACACTGCCTGTCGACTGCGTAACTTTCCCCACCACTTTCCGGGGTATAAAAAGCCAGCGCGCAGTGCGCGCCTCGCTCAGTCGAGCCTAAGTCATCCAGCAGTACAGTCGCAACTTTCAAAATTCCTCTCCCTCTTATTTTCATATTTCAGCGCATAAATATGCTATTAAAATAAATAACAATCAAAAAATAGATTTTCCACGTGCTTAAACATAACCTCTATTTAATTATACGATCATAATGGCTCAGTTAATAGAATTACGCGCAAATTGTCGCCTTGGCGTCGACGATATATGAGCGTTTTAATCGCGCTGGAGAAGTCCGAACGGACACGTATTTCTATTTCGTTAAAACGCTCGACCAAAACGTTTTAACACCCCCGCTACGTGCGCTGGCGTTTACGGTTAACACTTTAATGTAAGGCGTTTCATTATCAACTAACTCAACGACTGCGCGAATGCTGGAACGTGGTTGATTTACTAGTACAGCGCATGCAATTTTCGCCCAACTATTTGATCATACTCGTAATTATTATGTGAATAATCCCTCAATAAAACTACGTATGCATACGTTAATTATAGATGTATGTTTAATCAACTAAATTTTAATGAGGTGGTTTGTTAAATATTTATTTACGATTTATGAATAGTAATAGAGTTGTTTGTGGATAATAAAGTCGTAGTTTGAAAAATGTTTAGTTTAATTCGAGGCTAAGCGCGGAAGAATAGATACACGAAGGTTGGGTTTTGGTGGGATTTCGGGTCGGGGAATGGTGTTCAATTTCGGCTCAAGTTGAGTGCCTCTGCCGAGAGAGAGAGCGGCAGGTTGCGTAACAGCGAAAATAATCGCTGCTCCAGTGCGCTAGTAGCGAGCCGCTACCGGCGATGATGCTGCGATGCTGACGCCGCCGCCGCCACCGCCGTTGCTGCCACCGCCGCCGCCGCCGCCCTCTCCCCCTTCCCGCCGACCCTCCCTCATCCCTCCGCAACGCGCGCGCCCTGCCCCTGCCTGCGCCGTGTGCGTACCGCTCGCGCCGCTCGCCGCGCCGCCGACACGGATAGAGAGGAGAGAAAATCGGGTCCGGGCGCGCGCTCGCTGTTCGATTCCGGGCGGGTGTGAATCCGGTCCAGCGGCGGCAGCAGAGGCAGCAGGGTAGGGCCGACGCCATAGCGCCGACTCGCTCTCCCGGCGGCTCGCGAGCGCGCACGCACTTCACGATGAAGCTTTCGCTGCTCCACATCTCGCCGCGCCGCGCCGGTTCTCGCGCCCTTTACTAAATTATTATGGCTGTGAATCATGCCGTTGATAGGTAAAACATGTGGTGGCTTTACTGTGGACTGCTTGTCGTCGTGGCGACGATCCGGTTTAATGTGCTCGCCGCTTCCAAACGAGGTGAGTGTCTCTGTGTGTGCGAGTGTGGGTGGGTGAGAATGTGTATTTTTCGACAAGTGGAGGCGCCGGGCAGTGTCGTTATTATCCGCCAATAAAATCGACGCGGAAAGTGATTCGCGAATGGTGAGACAATTCCGGGGCGTTTGGCGAAAATTCGAAATAATCCACGCGAGGATACGAGCGGCATTTTACGACTCCACGATGCGTCGTTGCGCGAAACATTCTCGCAATCTTCTCACCTGATTTTATTGAATAACTTTATTCCGACGGCTGCATGCAAACCGTTTTTATATCGCCCGAAAACCAATTGGACCCTCTTTTCCCCCGATGCAAATCATAAAAATATCATCGACAAATATTATCATCTTTCGCGGTGAAAATGTGGGTTAATAAAAATAGGTTCACGATTGACTAGTTTTCCGATCGAAAAAGTTTGCAATCAAAGTTTAATTTTTCAGCGTGTGCGGTGATGTGTGCGCTAATTAGAAATAGAGAGGAACGAACATTAAAGTAACTCGATGATTGGCATTGGTGGGTTGTAATGCGAAAAGCTTTGATTTGGAGTCATCGATGCGTCGCACAACTGTTAAAAGCAGGGGCCCGATCTGCTCCGCTGACGTCGACGGGACAAGCCGACGGTGGCGGGAGCGGGCGCGATGAGGTCAGGTTTTTGATGACGAGATGGGAAAAGCGGGTATAGGTCGACTGACTGCGAAACGATTGAGGTCGCTGAAGTAGCGATATCGGCGGCGAATTTTGCGAATGAATGCCCGTTCATTATGCTGAAGGCTTTCTAATGGACCGGGAATCTAATAACCGACGTTCGAAAATTGCTTTCTCCACCGTCAGCTTCCCCTCAAGCAAGCATTAGAAATCGCCGGATACTAAACGCGACAAATCTCGCCGAAAACAAGTTTTAATTTTATTTTTTAGCGTAAATCAGTTTTCCGCAAGCGAATCTAATTTGCTGATTTTCACATAAGCGCAATTTGGTTAAATTTCGTTCATTATATTCATTTGGCGGACGACGTCGCGCGGAAAACATGTTTTTCCAAAAGTGCGAGGGAGTGGAGGCGCCGGGCACATCAGCGCACCGAAGAAACTTACAATAACAATAATAATTTTCGTCTTATTTGGGCGGGCAGGCTCTCAAATTACTTTATTAAGTTATCGTGGAGATGCTCCGCTGATGGAGGAACTTTTCCTCATAAACATTTGCGACGAAATTATGCCGCAAACAAAAAATTATTTTTACACGCTCAAAAATAAAATAAAATAGTTTCAGATATAATATTCCGCCTTTCATTGCGTGCAGCAAGGAAAAGTTTAATTCCATCGAACAATCTGCGTCCATTTGTCGATTTGTCGAGAAACTTTTACATTCATACTCACATTTGAAAAGGAGAAAGCTGCGCCGTCGCCCGGTAAACGTTCGCGATTATCTTTTATCTTTCGATAATATTTCAGTGACTTTGTTATTATCCGCGCTTGCCTTCCACCTCCGCAGACATTTCTTTAGATTTCTTCCCGTCGATTCACATTCCATGCTTGTTAGATTACCTAATTAACAACGACAATGAAATTTTATCGTTTTCGACATACGCGTCTGCTGGTTTTTTCCGCTGCGCGTTCGTCAATCGATTTTCAATTATCCGCGGACACATGCCGCATTACGAATTAAACGCTGTGCGCTTAATTGCTCACAACAAGAACTTGAATAAATAAACAACCAAAGCGTTCACTTGGCCAAATATTTTTCCAGTGTTAAACTTTCGCTTTGATCGTCACGCGTCCGTTGTCTATTGTTGTCTACGTTTTTTTTTTTATCCCGGAGCGTAAATTGAAAACACAAAAATAAACATTCGTGATATTCAGCTTATGGTAATGACGAATTTTGCGCGTCGAGTTTTATGTGTCATACGTGTTTTAATATCGCGTACGTGTACGTAAAATATCAAAAACAACACGCGCGGATTGAAACAGTTACGTGCGCAATATTTTTAATGTCCGTTTCGATTTGCCATTATTATCAGCGTGCGCTCGCGCGCGCGAACCTCAAAAACGTAATAAAATATTACAAAGTGACCCGTCGCGCGTCGGTTTTTATTGCGATCGTAATTTTGTGCTCAATATTAATATACTCATACATTCAAAACATTAATTTATTATTTAACTCATCAATTATCAAGTAATTTATTAATTTTTTTCGTTTTTGAGGAAAATCCAATGTTAAATAAAACTTTAACGCAAACATCATAAATTTTTGAAACTAGACCTTGGCTAGAAACTGGAAACTCGAAAAGTGTGAACAAAACTCGAGCGCTCCTCCGGGGCTCATTTGAACTTTACGCAAAACGCTCATTCCTGGCACACCGCACAATTTATTTCCACGAAACCTCCACGAAACCGATATTATTAACAATGAAAACCATTCGCTTATTTTACGGCCAAACTTCAATCATAACACCCACTCACTATGATTTTAATGTTTTAATTATGGACCAGGTTATTGCGTTAATAAAGCACCTGTAATATTTTTACGAGTGCACTTTTATTGCGGGTTGCGGCAATAAATTTATAGAAAATTAAACGCATGAAACTATCCAAACTTGATTTTATTTTCGCTGCGCACAATTCCTGAACGTTTTATCTCTTTTATCAAATAATATCTAGTTCAATTTTTTTTCAGAGAAAACTTATATTTTCTGTGTGAGTGTACTTTTTTGAAGCATATCTCTACAATCGTCTTCTGGCTGGGATTTTTTTTGCTTTTTGGTGGAGGCGCCTGCCTGCGTTTGTTCTCTTACAGGCTCTCCCTCGACCAAGGGCCCTCCCCGCAGCCGGAGCGCTCTAGTGCCCCCTCGAAGTCTTTTCATGTATCGCCATGAGTGGCGCGGCGGCGTTCAACGCTTATGTCTTTCTTTCGGGCGAAGGGCTTCACGTCCGCGCCATGCGGGCAAAACCTGCCAGAGTACCATTCAACTAACATCTAACAAATATAATAAATATCTCTACGAAAAACCTGCATAACTTTTCCAATACTAGACTTTATACACGCTTAACAAACAAGATAATTATACAATATGTAAAAATGTATTAACCTAGATTTGCGTTGATGTTAATTTATTGGGTTAATAATCATTAACACCACGCGCGACACATAAATTGTGAAAGTTTCATTGTTCACCTAGAAACAGGTTTCTGGAAACTTTCCATGTCATTGTCCATGGTTTTTTTCATTCTTTTATTCACTTTTATTCACAATAAAAACTATCCGGATTGTTTCCATTCAGAAAACGCACAATACTATTGCGATCCACAAAAGTTTTTCGCAAATTTTAACCGCATGAAACATTATCATAAAAATTACATTATCTTCAACTGGATAATGGTGATTAAAATTTTAATGTGTTTTAGATTGTGCGCGGAATGAACACAAACGGGCTAATCTGGAAATTTCGACACGAAAAATTCCGATTTCGAGGCGGTACTCGTATCTCCATATGCAATCTTTTGCGGCGCGCCATTTTGAAATTTTAATGAAAAACTTTAGTTGCGTTTGTATGAGAATGGAGTGCATGCTCTTCGCGGCGGTCGTTTGCGAGACAACGCCGAAATAAGCTCGGCAAACAACCTGCATACAAGCACTTTCCACGCTGCCATTTTCCATTTCCACGCGTTCGCATGGATTTTGTGTCTGCAGGTGAAATGAAAAACGCAAAAAAACGAAAAAAACACAGGAGGTGTTTTTCTGCGCTTCGCCATGCTTAGCTGCTTAAGATAAACTCATAAATTTCAGCTAAATGAACTTGATTATGGTAACGGATTTTTCCCGCTGTGATGCTTAGTTTTACGTTGGATAATGTTAGTGGAAAGTCGTAAAAACGATGAAACTAACTGACAGGATTTCCGGATTGCATGTGAAATGCAATGCCAGCTGTCGACAGTTGGATTGATGATGATTGTGGGCGTTTGTTGAACTGTTTCGTGTCGAATACCTAAGCGGATGCATAATTTAAAACAACCTGCAACCGCCGCACAAATTGATTTTTATCCTCACCCATTATATTCTATACAATTGTTGAATGCATCTTAAAAATTTATAACGCTTTAGAAAGGCTAAAAGTATTTTTCCTGGAATTGATTTCACGCTTGCAATTACGATGATCAATTAATTAAAAACGTAGTGGTTCGAAATGTTTGCATCCGGCACGCGATCGCCCACTTCCGGTCACGTCAACTTTCCCCACCGCTGGTGGTAATCCTTCAAGAAAACCCTTTTGTTGCAGGCGCGCGCGTTGTAGCAGTGGTTTTCTTAATATTCGCCGGCAGTTACAACGAGCGCCGGAACGGTGCGGCGCTGTTTGTGAGGTCTTAGGCAAATGAAGACAAATGAGGGACATTATTACCTTAGTTTGGAACAGGCATCTGTCAACAGGAGCGACGCGCGAACGCGAAAGCGACGTGCTGACTCGGCGATGCGCCACGCATTGCGAGATGACGACTCTCTTTGCTGGCATTCCCGGCGCCTTCGCCAAACATTAACCCGACCGGACTGGGCGGACAGCTTCAGCTGACTCAGATATTCCAAATTAACAATAAACGCAGACGTTGTATACGCTGTCATCTTAATCCTTTGTCTTGCAATAACTTCGCTCTGACTCCAGCCAGGATTTAGTTAATTAATGTTTGTTTATCATATCGTATTTACTAAAAATTCATTTTTATTTTTAACTAGCTTTAAGCCGCGGCTTCGCTCGCGACTATCTAAAATAATGAAGTTGCTTTCGTACGCGTCTGTAGTCACAGAAGAAGTAACAATGAAGTAGAATGGCGGGAAGTTTAAAATGGCTGAAAGTATAGTCTATGGAAGTATAGTGTACAGTCTCCATAGTGTAGTCAATTGGATTTGATGTTGACGTAGCTGTCGGTAATACAGTGTGATAATACAGTGTGATGGTACTATAGTACTTAGGTTAGAGCTTCATTGCTGGAATGCT